GGGGCCGTGAAAGTCAGATTAAATCGATCTGTTGCACCATTGAGTATATCGAAGGCTCCTGCGTTGCGATTGGCCCAATGAATGTGATTTTCCAATATTATTATGCGGTCAAACTTTTAAGGTATTTCATCTGATATAAGCATGGGCGTAGCCAGAACGAAATTTAGGGGGGAGGGCCATACAAAATAAAAAATTCAAAACCAATAACTTACTTATGTACTAAAATTTGTTTTATTATAGCTTAAAATTATTGTAACCAATAAAGGTAAATATGTTGTACAAAAAACAAATAAACAGAAGTTCACAAAAGTTGATATAAAACTATTCGTCGATTTAAATTGTTAACTTTTTACTGAGTATGTTTATTTTACGAGGAGGAAGCATCGAAAGCCTAACCCCTTCCGTGTGAGACTTTAACCCAAACTAAAATTCCTACCGTCATGTACCGTTCCCCTCCCGGTACCACCGTCAAGGATTTCGTCGGGATTATAACACTGTGTGACTGATAAGGTTATAGATCTATTCTCTTCCTCTTCTTCCTTTTTGGCGCTGTAACCGCCAAAGCGATTTTGACCAACTGACGCCTATTAGAAATGCTAAGTGAAGCCAGAATACTTTCAGAGCTGGGGCGTCGGTGTCCATTCGACCGACATGATCAAGCCAGTTGAGCCGCTGTATTTGAATACGCCACATACCAGCACGGGCATGTGAGTGATTTATAGTGTGGTTTTCGTACGTCGAGAGAGGACTTTACTCCTGAATTGCCTACTCAGTCCAAAGCAGCACTTGTTGGCAAGAGCGATTCTGCGTTGGATTTCCATGCTGACATTATTACAGGTGTTAATGCTGGTTCCCAAGTAAACGAAATTCTCTACTTCCTCGAAATTATAACTGTCAAAAGTGACGTGGGTGCCAGGCGCGAATGAGCTGATTGTTTGTTTGATGACAGGAGATACTTCGTCTTGTCGTCGTTTACCACCAGACCCATTCGCTTTGCTTCCTTGTCCAACTTGGAAAAGTCAGGACAGACTTCGCGGTTTTTCTTACCGATGATGTCAGTGTCATCGGCATAAGCCAGCAATTGTACGCTCTTGTAGTAAATTGTTCCTAAGCGGTTCAGTTCTGAAGATCTTATTATCTTCTCCAACATCAGATTAAAGAAGCCACATGAAAGGGAGCCGCCCTGTCTGAAACCCCGTCTGGTGGCGAAAGGCAACAGAGCAAAGCTGGTGGTATTACTCAACGTCATTTTTCACAGACGTATGACAGACATAGCGGCATATACCTTTAAGTACTGTCGAAAGCGGCTTTAAAGTCGACAAATAGGTGGTGAGTGCGGATCATTTTCTCGCGGGTCTTTTCCAAGATTCGGCGTACTGTGAATACCTGGTCTATGGTAGACAATACATTCGATAAGACCTTGCAACCTATGCTTAGAAGGCTGATCCCGCGGTAGTTGGTACGCATGGCGGGGTCGCCTTTCTTGTGGATTGGGCAGAGCGCACTTGAATTCCAGTCGTCGGGCATGCACCTTATTACCTCCTTGCCATCGTAATTAAATAGCTCAGCTGACAGGCCGTCAGCTCAAACAGCTTTGGCACTTTTCTTCATAGTCAGGCGCTGGGATATCGACTCCATCGTCATCGACTGGGACCTCGAAGTGCTTCCGCTATTCAAAAGGGTCGATAAGTGTTCCCTCCATAATCTGAGTACGTTCTGGACATCGGTCACTAGGTCGCCATGGTTGTTCATACAAGAGTCTTGAAACCTTCCGTAAGTCGCTCAACTCTCTGCTAAAAATTTCGGGTGTTTTTTCTGTCGGACAGCATTTCAAGCATTTTCTCACACTCGTGATCGTACCAGTAATTAGCGGGAAATGTGGTTTCACTGCTCGCGCAAGTCGGTTTGTTGAAGAGTGCTCTCTCACAGCAGGTGTGAGGGTCGAGCGCCGAATCCATTGGCCGTCTGTTTTGATTGCAGCTTTTCGACGTTGAACTTTCCCTGCATTGTTGGGGGCCCTTTTTTTGCTTCTCCGAGGTTAGGTCGTATATTGGATGCATCAATATAGTAGTGCGAGTCGATGTTTGGCCCTCGGAGTGTACGTATGTACATCTAAAACATGGAAGCATGTCTTCCGTCTATCACAACATGCTCGATTTGGTTTCCCGTTTTTCGATGTGGAGACATCCATGTAGCTTGAGAGAACGAAAAATGACACTGAAGATGGAACAACGCCGAAACCGGTTGGTCTCCAAACCAAATTTGACAAGGGACGACGGAAAATCGTTCCACAATACATCACACTCCTACCCTGTCGGAAACACCAACAACGAAAATGAGAATAGCTTGATGGATGTTTTTATGCTAGAACCCAGTAATACATACTGCCAAGCTTCGGGCCCCGGCGAAGTGGATCATCCTCAGCCCGCCGTTTCTATGTGGAGGCTGATTTTTTCGACACTGGCACCAAAGATCCCTTCGTTGCCCACCTTGGCATTTAAATGGCCAAGCACGATTTTTATACGTGTCGGGGGCAGCGCTAATATGTACGCTCTAAGCTAAGAGAGCCTTGGATGCCTCGTCCTTCTCTTCCATCGGGGCATTGGCACATGTGAATGAGATGTTGAAGAATCTCGCTTTGATGCGGATTGTGGCTAGACTTTCGTCCACTAGAGTGAACGCCGGTCTCTCTCCCACCACAAATCCAACACCGAATTGCACTCCTTTACGTGGCAACTGTAGTAGACGTCGCAAGGCTCACGCTTACCTTCCTCGCCCCGTCCATCGCATTTCGTGGATGGAGCTGATGTCAGCCTTTATTTTCCCTAGGACTTCAACCAGCCGGGCAGAGGCACCATCCCGATTAATCCCCAGCGCACGCGGGGTGTTACGCCCTCCCACTTTACCTCGCTCCCAAACTAGCGTTCGGTCGCTACCCAGAGTATTCATGGATATAAATATCCGGACGTAGTTAACTGCGATTTGAACCGTAAGCACACGAATCACTTCTGGCCACTCCCAGGTGAATGGCCGTCAAAAGCTTTGCAGTACTGGGAAATGTACAAAACATAGTGGCCAAAAACGAATATCTCAACTAAACCCTGATGAATTTTTTTAAATTCGCTCTACATACCTGTATAATAAACCAAATAGCCGGACAAAACGTTAAATGATATACATACATATGTATGTATGTATAAGTATGAGGGCGTATTGAACATTTTGAGTACGCAGATTTTTTAGGCTGGTATATTTATTTATGCTAAATATATTACTTGATTTTGTTTTGTCACACTTTAGAAGTAAACGTCTTGGCTGTTCACCCAACCGCTTAGTAAAGACACAAACCTAAAGACAAAGTAATAAACAATTGAACTATAAATTTATTTATAGTTTCCGTTCAATAAATTTTTGCTCATTGTCGACTGCAGCCAGGTTTTTACCCTTTTAAAATGGAAGTGCTTTGAAGTTAGAGATAATAACTTGATACAGAACCGGATGATCCACATATCTACTTTTCATAGCAATTTACTAATTATTTAGTTAGCGTTGGGAGTATAATTTGTTATACAGTATATATATAGGAAAAACCTTGAAATTTAGGGGGGGCCGAAATTATCAAACAAGCATTTCGTGGTAGTATTTTTGAATATCTAGGCAAAAATTTGAAAGTTAGGGGGGGGCCCGGGCCCCCCCTGCCCCTACCTGGCTACGCGCATGGATATAAGCATATGTATATTGCATATCTGTAGAACAATGATTCGCACCCATTTTGAAATTGCCACCAACTATACTGTAAAGCTTCTAGGACATTCACTATAGAACCGGGTCATTGTTGCCGCCAGGGAGTGAAGACGAAAAAATTTATTTCGCTTTGCGAATAACCGTGCTATGAAATGCCGGACAACTGGCGAATTTCAAGAACTTCTTCACGGATATAACACTTTCCTTAGGTTATTTAAAGCGGCAAATGACCACCAAACCATAATCTTAGCAGACGAATGAGCCAATGAAAATCGTAAACGTGAATAAAAATTTAGGGCGGGGCGAAGTTCGCCGGGTCTGCTAGTAAGGGTATAAATATAAACTTATAATAAATGTTCAAAAGAAAGCTTTTTATAAGCGTATAAATGTAAACTTATAATAAGGGTTCAAAAAATTTGTTTATAAGCGTATAAATATAAACTTGCTAAAAATTTTAAAAAGAAAGCTTTTTATCAGTGTTGCCACAAAAAAATTATCAAATTCCTCAAAAACAAACGAAAAATCCTCAAAATCCGAACAAATTACTCAAAATTTTCTTATTACAGATATGAGTATTGTGTACTGCATACTATTTACAGGTACTTAGCATAAAAATTAATTACATTCTCCAATTCAATTGGTATATTTGTTTTTGCGGTTCAAACAAAGTATCACCGTTATTTTATATTGCCTTGGTTTGTATAAAATATTGCTGCAATTATATGAGTGCTCTGGTATATGGCAAAATGGGAAAAGTAAGTTTGAAGATGTTTGACAAGCCACTTGTGTGGTGTAATTCGCTCTTTATAAAACTTTGGAAAGCTTTTTGTTCAAAAATTTGCAGAGCGATTTAACAACTATCTTGTGTAAAACATGGCTGCATTTGTTATCTGCAAATATACCGAGAGGAAATTCCTCAAAAATTCCTCAAAATAAAAATCCTCAAAAAATACTCAAGCGCACCCGAAATTCCTCACATTTTGAGGAATTACTCACAAAGTGGCAACACTGCTTTTTATGCAGGTTTTTCTAACCATTTATTTAAACGTAATTTCATTAATAACTTATACATAGATTGTAGAACCGTTTATACAGCATATGTAGTAACATACAAATATTCTCCAACAAATTTGATATAGAAACTAAAAGAATTGCAAATTTTCTGCGGACTCATCTACTGTCACGAAAATATAAATAGGGCAGAGATATTTTAGCATTCCTAAGCATAAAAAAGTAAATTTTTATATCTTGTTACGTGCAGCAGCTTTCAATTACATGCGGCTATTGGCAAATTGGAAACACGACTGCGGTGCGGCTATATATTCCCCTTCATCGCCGCCATTCCCATGGATGAAGGTTTCTGAAAAAAAAGTTTATATATTTTCAATTGTAAAGTAAGCAAGGATAAGGAGAACTCATCATTTGGAGGCGCGAATGTTCCACCGATTAGGGCAGCGGGTCCTAGATTGGAATGAACGTTATTCATAAGCAAATTTATAATTTCTTTACACAGTCTCTTTTCACTTTTCGAACGCCTATTTTTACGCATTGATTTTATTTTTTTTCACAATTAATATCGTCGTTTAAAGTACAAAACCACGTATCGTCATTCTGCAAAACCTCGTAACTGACATTGGCTGCCAAAACTTGGATTTGCTCACACAAGCTCTTGGCTCAATCCTTATCCATTCGTCCTAAAATATACTAGCCAGAAATGCGATTGCTTTATAAAAAAGAGAACCATTTTGAAATATGAGTGTTTTTACAGTCCAGAAAATGATTTCTACAACTTCACATACGCGGTTTTGCATTTTTTTGATACGCGGTTTTGCACTTTAAACGACGATATATACTTTCAAGAAGAGAACTATTGAAACAATTTTATATTTACAGATTCATGTCGTTAGCATTTGCATTTCATTTTTAAGTTTAAGTGATTTATAAACATTCTCCCTTAACACTTATTAAAGGTTTATTTGAAAAAACTTTAAATAAACAATATATTAAAATAGCTTATGTCAAATGATATTTCTGATGAATACCTTTTTCTGTAAAACATTACTTTGATTACTTTATAATGCGTCCCTGACAGACAATAGCACACAACACATACAAGAGAAACGAACAAGAAAAAAACCGAGTAGTTTGTAGTTGCAACCCAGTAAGAACCCTATCTGTTAACTAATGCGTTATATACGCCTAGTACTAAAACTTTTTGTGTGAGAAATTCAAAAACTTTCCATCATTTTACATAGGGTTCCTGGATAAATCTAACGCATATTCGTTTCACGTGTGAGCAGTTTTCTCTTTCTTTTACATGGAATTCGCTATTATATTATCCTCTATGTAGTTGTCTCTTTTCAATCAAATATTATTATGCGATTAATAACGTGTTATATAACGCAAAGAATGGCACATGGATATGACTAATATGCAAATGTGTTGGTTTTTATTGACAATATTGTAAGTGTATTGGAGAATGCGTTAGGTTGTTCTTGCTGGGAACGAACGGCGAACGAGAACAGTCGTTTTGTACATAAAACATTTTTCTTTGCTATAAAACCACGGTGGGCAAACGCGGCTCTTTGAGCCAAATGCGGCTCTTTGCTTAGAAAAGTGCGGCTCTTTGCTTAGAAAAGTGCGGCTCTTTTTACTTTCTCTTTGCTTAGAAGATTTTTTTTCCTTTCTTTTTAAAATACATATTTCTTTGCTGGACATTCTTTTCCATTGTGTTGTTTTTTTTATTTTATACTTTTTATATAAGATCGGAATATTACCCGCAATTGGAGAATGATAATTGGCTTTCTGACTTAATGTTCTTTACCGATATGATGGAACTTTTGCAAAACTTGAATTTGTCTCTACAAGGAAAGAACAAAAATGTTTTTGATTTGTCGCAAATTATTTTAAGTGTTGAAGCTAAACTACTTCTTTTTATGATCTCAAAAAAAGAATACTTAATCATTTCCATGGCAAAAAAAAAAAATATTGCGCATGATTTAAAAGCAGATTTTGAAAAAAGAT